GGAAATGGAAGGGTCACAAACCCTGCACGATTTCAAGATCCCATTAACCTCAAGAAAGGACCGAAAAACGCTTTGGACCCCCGCCATCTCACACCGAACCCAGTCGTACCCAAGAATCCCTGGAACGAGGTCCGCTGGCGGCGCCCCCTCCTTCTTTTTCCCAGCAGCGGCCGTTCTGGTAGCCGCCGCCTTGCCCCGCGCTTTGCCTTTACTCTTGGCAGGCGCGGAGGAACCAGCACCACTCCCTCTAGCCATGAAAAAAAAACAAGAAAGACTCGAAGAAGATTGGGGAAGAAAGAAAAAGCAAACTGTAGAAAGGAAGTATCTGGTACTCTTCCTCAGAAAACAACCCTAACAATGACTGGGTTACTGGAAACGGAAAAACGAGGACGGAGGATGAGCATAAAAATGAGAGAAACAGCGTGCGCAAGAAGTTGAAAGATCGAAAAATGAGTAAAGTGAAAAGGGGAAAGGCGCGAGGGAGAGAAAAGGGTTTCTCCCAAATTCAAAACGGTCACGCCACGTGTCAGCCAAGGGACGCGTCTGATGACACATTAACTGAGAACAATTATGACAAAGGCAAACCATTATTACATAACCGACACTCCCATTAACGCGCCACTTGCACGTTCTCGGGAGATGATCAGTTATGACACAGGGCATCTCAACAAGCACGCGTACACGAGGGGTCACAGCCACTTGACGAGCTCGGTCTTAACTCCTCGACCCACGGTTTTTGGAGCTCGGGGGGCTAGTGTACTATCCGTACTGCAAGGCCGAGCTCCCAGCTCGGCATCGCAGCGCATAACGACCTCGGATACGCGCTACGTGACGTCATCTCGTCACTTAACCAGGTCATAACTAATCTGAGGAGATCTCGGTCCAGACGAGATCCGCTATCTAATTAGATCACAACTGATCCCAGGCCCAAGACCCAACGTAATCCTAATCCATACTAAGGTACGTGCATTACTTATACGAGACATACACTCATACAAACCCTAACTTTAGCATCGAAGTCTCTTTTGCAGGTACCACCCCCATCTTGGAACATCAAGCGTACCAGCGAAGGAGGCTCACCAATCTTACTCGACGGATCACCTCTACAGCAGATCTCCGGTAAGAACAGTAAGATAACTTTTCTAAGAATAAGTAATAGCTATGAATAATATAAGTTTTCAAAATTCATAACAAATATAAAATTTACATTCCCAAAAAATAAAGTTGTAATCCGTGAAAGAAACATCTTAAAGTGACAAACATTGTAGTCCGCAATTGCACCCCCAATTTCTCTACAGTGCCCAGGTCTCTATTGTTCCCCAGAAGCACGAGGCCCGCCCCAATTGCAGCGAGCGTGGCTGCTGGCACACGCATTGCACAGAAATAGTGTTCACCATGGATTTGTCGATGAACACTATTTGTTTTGATTTTGAGCGAAACAATGGTTGTTTTCTTCCTTGCGTGATTATTGACGATCATCCCCATCCACGTTGTTTTTGTTAGGCTGGATATTTTGTGTACCACATTAGAAAACAAACAGTGTCATCCAAATTAAGTTTTTTTGTTAGAGACTGGGCACTGTAGAGAAACTGGGGGTGCAATTGCGGACTACAATGTTTGTCACTTTAGGAAGAAGGGGGTGCGGGAAAGGGGGGTGTGGGGTGCGGGAAAAGGGGTGTAAATTTAAGAATTTTATTATTTTTTAAGGGTAATTTAGATATTTTATATATTTTTTTTTAAAAGGGGGTGTGTTTATACGAGAGTGGAGCATCTGCCAAAAGCATATCCATTCCAAGTTCCAACACCAGCGCACCTGGGCCCCAACGAGGTTCAAAAGCCCAGTGAAAAGAACAACAAAACAAACCCAAACACGTCGCGTTGCTTATCGCGCCTCAAATTTCACTTCTGAATCAAATTTTCATTACCCCCAAAAAAATAACAACAAAAACAAATAGAAACTCAACTAAAGATTCAATTTCAAATCTCGTCCTCTTCAGATCTCATTAAAAAAAAAAAAAAAAAAACTCCAACATTGTAAAACACGCTCTCTCTCCGATTTCTTCTTCTTCTTCATTGTGCATTCATTGCCACGCAATATTAGGGTTTCTTACATTCCCTTCTTTTTTTAATTTTTTCCTTTTATAATTTTCGAATTCGGCGTTTGATTTGAGAAGCGGTTTTCGACGATTCCGATGTCGGCTTCCACGGTGTCCATCACGGCGGCGAACCCGGGGACGCGTCGGAGACCGGTCATCGCCGCCGAGAAAAAAACTCCCTCCAACATCGAACTCCTCGCCAACGACGTCGCTGTCTCCCCGGCCGCCGTCGCAACTTCCGGCGACGGCGGCGGCGCTGGCTCTGGGCGCGACCTCAGCCACCACTCGATCCGAGGCGAGGCTCTCCTCGAGCGAGCGTCCCGCGACTTGGCTCCGGTGAAGAAGGTCGCCGGCGGGAACTCGGCGTCGGTCCCTCCGCGACGGCTGCGGAAGCCGGCAGCGAAGGCCGAGAAGCCGCGGTGGGTAACGGTGGTGAGAATATTTGGGAAGAATTTGGTGCTCCTTGTAGTGCTGATGGGGCTGGTTCAGTTGATCCGGAGGTTGGCGTTGAAATCCGGCGACGCCGCCGACGGGGGCTACCCGGGGTTGTCGGAATTCGAGGGGCGGATTTCGGATGTGGAGGGGTTGTTGAAGAGGACGGCGAAGATGATTCAGGTGCAGGTTGATGTGGTGGATAAGAAGATTGAGAATGAGGTTAGAGGGTTGAGGAAGGAGCTGAGTGGTAAAATTGATGAGAAAGGTGTAATTTTGGAAAGTGGGTTGAGGAAATTGGAGGCTAGGAGTGAGGAATTGGAGAGTCGTATGAGTGAGTTGAAGAGGGAGGATTGGTTGACAAAGGAGGAGTTTGACAAGTTTGTTGAGGAATTGAGGAATGTGAAGGGGTACGAGGGTGGTGGCTTGGATGAGATAAGGGAATTCGCGAGAGGGGTGATTGAGAAGGAGATTGAGAAGCATGCTGCTGATGGGCTTGGAAGGGTGGATTATGCTCTTGCCAGTGGTGGTGCTGCGGTGGTCAAGCATTCGGAGGTGTATAATACGGGAAAGGGCAATTGGTTCACGATGGCTGCTAAAAATGGTGTTCACCCAAGTGCGGAAAAGATGTTGAAACCGAGCTTTGGCGAGCCTGGCCAGTGTTTCCCCTTGAAGGATAGCAAAGGGTTTGTTCAGATTAAGCTGCGCACTGCCATCATTCCTGAGGCTGTTACCTTGGAACATGTAGCAAAGGTGATGCATTTTCATCCATCTAAACATTGATGTTGTGCACATGCTTATCAGTTACTGTGGTACATATGGTATACACCTTGTCTGTCTTAATTTTCTAAAATTGTAGACTAGATGAGATTTTGATATAGCAATTGAGTGCAGCAATTTTGAGTATGCATGTACATGATGTAATTCTCATGTTTAGATATTTGGACTTTGTTTTGATTGTGGCAAATTAAGTTTATGAATTTACATGATTTGCCATGAAATCTGTGTTATGACCCTAATAAATCACGTAGATGTAACTAGCTTATTGACAAGTTTTGTTTTGGTCTTTGGGTGACTTGTCGGTGTAGTTTCTAGAAGATACAGTTTTTCTCTCCTTGTATTAAGGCGCTAGTAATGCAAAATGTGATGAATTGTGATTCATGTAATTATTAGTAGTTAGGAGTCATATGCTGGATTTTCAAATTAAGCAAATGATAAGAGAAACAGTTAGAGGCCCATTTTGATTCATGAGATTATGAAGCTTATTATGCATGTCATGGGGAACATTGTCGTATCCTTTAGCTTGTGCGGTTTTTCTTTTGAATGTGTAATTTAATGGTTGGTTTGTCATCTTGATATGGATATGATTTGTTGTATGCTAATGATATTGAACCACTGAGACCTTTCTTCATACTCTAATCTTGTGTGTTTTTCATCTAAAAGGTTTTCATTTCTAAATGTCATTACTCTACATGCACTTTGTTAATTTGTTTGCAGCTAAGTGGATTCAGTTGTCTTCTATACAACTATGTGGTTCATATCATTTATATAATCCTGCAAGCATGCACTGCCACCTGGTTTTTTTCTTTGATTCAATCTATCAAACGTGACATTTTTTTTTGTCATTGATGATATGGACAGCATATATAAAAGTCCATTGCATCTATTTACATTTATACTAGAAAGTAAAATAATTTGACGAACTAACTATGTCACATCTATGCCAAGAGCAGTGATTTCTTTTTGTGAAATATTAAGATAAAAGAGGCAAGGGTTTTAGAATTACATGACTTTCTTTTCAAACTTTTCCGATAACTATTTAAAGAAAATGACTCATGTTAAGTATTTTGAACTTGTCTCTTAAGATAACAAAAATGCTTCCATGTAGCATGATTGATGAAACCCATGATACCAAATATGCATCAGCAAGGAGGTCATGGTTAGGTTTAGTATCTGCTCCTAGTTAAAAGATTCAGTACATGGTACTGGTGAACTGGAATCATGCTGCATAATGAATATATTTATTGTCCTTTTACTTTGTGAATTTGCTAGTGTTGGATGTTAAGTTATTTTTTAATGAGGCTCTGATAATCAATTCCTGCTGTAAGTTGCTAGAGGGGTGAAGAGGATAAATTTCTTCTTTGGGTATATGTTTCTGTAATGATCAAGAAGACTAATGCAGAGATGTGGATGTGGGAATAAGTGTTGCAGATATTACCAGTTGCAATTGTGAATATAACGGGGCTTTAGACATTATTATATATGTTGTCTTCTTTACACATGATATATGTTACTTTTATTTAATGTACCTTTTCTTGTCTATATCTAAGAAATTTCAGAAGTTGTCACTTTTCCCTAGATATCAGATATCAAACACCTATAGATGCACAACAAAGATCTGAAATAAATTTGATTTATGAACTTTCTTGTGTGACCCCAAAATATTGGATCTATTCCGGTATTTATTGTTTTATTGGTAGGTTGATTGTCTTTCTGGTTTTGGCAGGTTAGAGTTTAGGGAACTGCTTTACCAGTTCTTTCCACATTACTAATGATCTTCTCTGGATTATTTTTAACTGGGTTTGGTTTCAGGAGTTAAATTTGTCATCGTTTTGGTTCTGCTGATTGATTTTTGGACCTCCTTGCTTCTTCAATAGTTGTGTGCATTTTTTTCTTGATATATGTATTGTTCGATTTGCCATAAATTTTCTTTATGCTTTGTTACTAGGTCTCTTAAGGCTTTTTATGTATAATAACATTGATTTACTTTTTTTATCTTCTGTTAATTACTCAGTTTGATAAGTTGATGAAAATACAGATATTTTGTTTGATATGACCCTATTTTTATTTTGTTTCTATTTTTCACAATAGTGTTTTAAGGCTGATTAAGTGATGCTATTATTGTAGCATAGCTTGTCATTTATTAAGTGCACTGTTTGTACCAAAAGTGAATATGATAACACTAGTAAGTTGAGAAACTTAGCTGCTTTTGAGGTGGACATTGATGAATAGCATAACACTGCTTTTGAGGAACTTTCCGGTATTAATGATTTAATCTTATATTTTCTTGCCGAATTTCACTCGGTATTTTGTTTATGGACATTCGTTTATGGGCATAATTTTATCTTTTATGCCTCTGCCACAAGTGTTGTACCTCATTACTTTTTATTTAGTTAGCTTTTAGTACTGATATATTTTTTTTTCTGTTCAACAGAGTGTTGCATATGATAGATCAAGTGCTCCTAAAGATTGCAGGGTCTCTGGTTGGCTGCAAGGGAATAATGCTGATTCTGTTCTTGATAGCAAAAAGATGTATCTTCTAGCCGAATTTTCGTATGACCTTGAAAAGAGCAATGCTCAAACATTCAACGTGTTGAGTTCAGCAGCCTCTGGTGTTATCAACACGATAAGACTCGATTTTACATCCAACCATGGAAGCCCTTCACACACATGTATATATCGATTGAGAGTCCATGGTCACGAGCCTGACTTGGTTTCTATGATGGCACTGGGATCATAATGTGGTTTGCTTAGAATTTTGTCAATTTCTGTGTAGTTGTCCAATGTATTTTGTTTAGATGTAGGATAGAATGTCATGGACTCCGTTGTTACTGGATGCAGTCATTTGACTTATTGCTTCTTCATATGGATTTTGTATTTAGTGTATGATTCTGAGTTAGGCAGTCGGTAGATTTTGCAAAGCTAATTTTGTTGTCAAAGGAACTTGTCCAAGGCAGGTGACAAGGGTTGCCACCATAGTCTTCAGCTCTAAAACGGTCTTAGGCTTTTAAAGAATGATGCGTGAGGAAGAAGCCTGCATTGGAATTTCTTCGACAGCAGGGGCATAGTATGTCTAAATAAGAAAAATACTTACACGCTAGTCAATAATAAAATGAAACGAAAAGGGTGATGCGTAAACAAAGCTCCAGCGCAGTTGAAACAAAGCGTTGCAATCAGCTGGTTTGGTGGCGGAAGGAATAGGGGTTTTTAGGACATCTTGTCCTAAGGTATGAATGGGATAAGCTTTGTCTACTCCAAACTCTCTAGATTGGTGAGCTTTGGCGTAGCAAAGGTACCTCATATCCTTCATATTTCCTAAGAGTCGTTATTTCTTTTTGCACACATTATGATGCACAACTTTTAGCTTGGTCTTGGCCTAATAGAATTTGGTTCATGGTTGGATTTAACATGGTCTTCTAGAAGTATTAATCATGATAGGAAAATTTCATCCAGTTCCTTCATAGCTCAATTCAATGGCAATTCTAGTGTGACAAGCATCTTCGTAGTTAAACTTGAGCTATTTGATGAATTTCATGGTTTAATCATCAAGAAGATGCTTTACATATAGATCAAGGGGCACTACCTCCGTCACCAGGGTTGTATGCAGATGCAGGACGATACTACCCTCTTCTTGTTGGCAAAGGGATAAATATTCTTGTAGATTGTAGTAGGGTGAGCTTTTGAGTAGTTCACCTATTTTGACAAAAAGTTCGGTTTATCATCCTCTTTGTCTATCATTTCGTCTATCATCCTTTCAAAATCATCACACATATTTATTATGTTTGCATGGACTTCGTTCAGAGGGACCTGCCACTCATTGTCACTAGGGTTTCATGGGTTAGGCTTAACCAACGATGCATTCATATTCAAAGGCTCAACATAAGTTGCACTATCTATGTATGTATGTTTTCTTTTTGTCTCGAGTATTCAAATTTCTTTATATAGGTGTTATCTCCTTTAGGATACCAAAAGAGAGGAACAAATGTGTGTCAGTCAAATACAATTTTTGTGTGCTTTGAGAGATTTGTTTGTCCTTTTTTTGACATAAAATATGTTTGTGTTCCATTTTAAAGTGTAAGTACTAAATAAGTTTTTTATTTTTTTTCAACCTATTAAGAAATAAAATAGATAAAAATGATTTAGTTATAAAACATTATAAATGATATATAATAAATGTTTTTGCCTTACAAATGAAATTATTCATCTTAGAGACTTAAAGTCAAAATCACCAATTGTTTTATTACTAATTATCTTATTGTATGATTTGAAAAAAGTCTAAATTTGTTATCATTAAAACTTATATTTCAAGGGATCCAAAATTGTCTTTTAACTTAACAATCTTTCTCTTTTTGATGGTGACAAACATGTTTTTGAAAAGAGAAAATTTTAAGTGCAACATATCTTATTTGATTTCAATTTATCAGATAAATGTTTCTTATCAAAGCATATATATATATATATATATTAAATATTCTTGATATGTTCAGACAGATTATAAGTTCATTTTTATCATAGCCATTTAGAGCTTAATCGAGGCATATATATAACTGTTCATGCATTCTTACATTCTAGCAGACTATGTATATCAATATGAAAATATACGTATAAACTTCACAAAATAAACTCCCCTTGGGATAAAGCAATAGAACAAGTATGAAAAGTCTAACACAATAGTTGAAAAACTTCAAAAATAAACATTGTACTCCCCCGTTTGCTGCCAACAAAAATCGGCATCAAATACTAGTTTAGGGACTCCTTGTCAAAGTTGACTTCAACATGAAGCTTGGTGACAAGCTTCTGATACTTCCAATCAAAGCAACGTTGTTGACTATTGGATTGTTGGAATGTTGAAACTAGAGTGTTGACCACAAACTTTAGTTCTAAGACAGTTTTAGGAATGACTTTAGACAAAAATGGCAACACTTGTGCTTCTTGTGTAGGTAAAGAAGGGGCAATAATAACAAATGCAAGGGGCAATATATGTATATATAAAACATATATTTATAGGCAGATAATTAATTAAATGAAAACAAAACAGTGAGGGATAAATAAAATTGCAATGTGGTTGGTAAAAAGCGTTGCGAGCAAATGGGCGCATGGTTGGAGGGATTGGAGTTTGCAAGATGTCACAACTTATGGTGAGGATGGGGTAATCCTTGTTCATGTTGGAGGCACGAGACTAATGTGCCTTATCATAACATAGATACCTCATCTCCTTGATGTACTCAGCCTTGTGTTCTTTTCCTTTGTAGACTGAGTGTTGCACAACCTTGAGTTTGGACTCAACTTGAAAGAATTTTATCTAAGGTTGGATCTGGCAAGGTTGTCAAGGTGCACCAATCAAAAGAAGGGGGTTATGGGAGGTTCTTTCAAAACCTAACTTCATGGAAACCTTGGTACGACAAGTGTCTTCAAGCTCAAAACATTGTTGCTTGATGATTTCCATGACTTGATCATTTAAACAATGTAGACCATGTAGATCAAAGGGGCTTCACCTCAAACACTTTTTCATTGCAGGGATAAAAGACAATGGAGCGCTCTTCTTGGTAGCAAAGATTCAAGTACTATTCCATATTCAAGTAAGACAATTTCCACAAAGAACCACTTACAAGAGGGTAATCAGAGTCATCCTCCTCATCTATGATTTAGTTATAAGACATTATAGATGATACATAATAAATGTTTTTGCCTTACAGACGCAATGAGAGAGACAAAAAGATTACATAGATAAAGATGATTTGGTTATAAGACATTATAAGTGATATATAATAAATGTTTTTACCTTACAGGCAAAATAATTCATCTGGGAGACTTAATGCCAAAACAACCAATCTTCTATATTACTATTCGTTTTATAATATGATCTAAAAAGATTTTCTCTTCAAAAATGTTTGAGTTTGTTATCATTAAAACTTATATTCTAAGAAATCCAAAATTGTCTTTTGATTTAATAATGATCAAATGAACTAACATAGAACATTATGAGTTTAATTGAGCATAATTGTCATGATAATATGGGTTAAATCAATTAGATACACCTTCGTAATCCCAAAATATCTTCTAAGTATTATCTAAATCAATTATTTATCTTACTTATTTAATTATTTTTAATTCTCAAGTTTTATCTTTCTATAATTATCTTTTGAAATTATATTCCTTTAATTATCTTCTTCAAAGTATCCTTTTAATTATTAGTTACAAAATTTCCTTTTTTTATCTAATTAAAATTAATTAGCAATAATTTCACAAATCAAAACAAAATTCTTATGAATTGATAATTTATTACTTGACAACAATATGTGCACTTACTGATTTTCCACATCAAGTTTTTGGCGCCTTTACCAAGGACTACATTCTTTTTGTTTTGTAATTATTATTTATTAATTTAATGTAGATGTTATATTTTTTAGATTTGTTTTATTTTCTTTCTAGTTCCTTTTTAGAACTCACGTTTTATTTTTCTTTTTTTTTAATAGGGTCCCCAATTTATTTGTAGATACCTCTACCTAGGAGAACCAATCAAGTGTGAACCTTAAATGGAAAAGCTTTTTGAAGAAGGTTAAGAGTAGTAAAGCTAAGAGTTGTTGTTGATCCATGACTTGATTTTGTCATGAACCATCCACCAACAAATAGACATCTAAAATCATACGCAACGCCAACCATCCAAGGGTTGCCTGGTGAGATCACCCGCCAAATGTGGGTAATAAAATTTGTGATTTCTCCATCCCTTCTTACAATGTTGAAACAGAGCCAGTTCCATGATGCCTTATGAAAATCCCACAAACCACTTGGAAGGGTTTTTAGAGATTTGCGAGACTCGACTCTTTCAAGGGGTAACACAAGATGTGTTGTGACTACGCCTTGTGATATGGTCCATCACCTTGTCTCAATAACCCTAATAGTAAAGGTAAGGATGCGGGTGAAAACTTTACCCAAAGGGACGATGACGACTTAGTAGGAATGTGAGAGGGTATTACTTAACAAATACCATCCTTCTTCTAAGACTGATGAAATATGGAAGTAAATCTCCAACTTTTGTCAAGAAGAATAGAATATTTTTTCTGAAGCATGGAAACAATTTTCTAAGCTCTTAATGGACTGCTCTCATTACAAGTATGATATGGGTCTCACTGTCCATTTCTTCCATGATGCATTAAATTACATGAGCAATATCTTGCTACACTCCACTACTATTAGGGTGTTCATGGATAAACCCCTTGATGAAGCAACCATTATCATTGAGGCAATAGTTGTAAACCAATGTTAATGGGGTAGTGAAAAAATTAGCACCATGTGTAGAAAATTAGCACCGTGTGTAGAGTCTCCCAAGGGTGTACGCATGAGGTAAATAATGTTGACCTTATTTGAGCAAAATTTGACACCTTGAATCAAAGGTTTGATAAGTTAGAAAAAGGCAATGTTAATATATGATAGGTGCTACTAATATGTTTTGTGAAGTATGTGGTGTATAGGGATACATAACTATTGATTGTTAGGCATAAATGCCTGAAAAGGCAAGTGAAAAACATTGTTGTGACACATAACTTCTACGACTACCCTAAGAACAATAAGTTTGACCCTATACTCTAATATGTAGGAGTAAGATTAGTTTTCACCCAGGTGCCACTAAGATGTATCAAAACCTTAGAAAGATGTTTTGGTTTCCTAATATGAAGAGAGACAATTGAGTTTGTGTTTAGGTGCTTAGTATGCTATAAAAGCTAAGATAGAACACAAAAAATCATCAGGTTTGTTACAATTTTTGAGACTACCTAAATAGAAGTGAGATAGTGTTTCCATGAAATTTGTGGTTGTGTTACCAAGGATCGCAAAAGGTTTTGATTCCATCTTGGTTATAGTGGATAGCTTGACTAAGTCTACTTACT